TTATTCATTATAATTATTTATCTTTTTATTTTATCCTTATTTTATTTCTTATCATGTAACAATATTTTGAATAATAATAAATTTCTTATAGTTTTCTGATTCTTGCTAAATGGCGATATTGCAAGGTATCATTTCAGTTAATTAATAATTATGGCCTGACTTTTGGGCCACTCTTAAATTGCTTTGCAAATAAAACCAAAGCGAGTTTGCAATTGGCCAATAAATAAATATAAACGACTGAAATAAATTGATCACAAGTGAATAAAAAGAATTTTATAGCCTTGTAAAAGGGCCATCTATTTACAGTTATCTGGTGCTATTAAGTTGCTTTCAGATTCGTCTAGATCCAAGAAAGAGACAGTAACTGAGAACTAATGTAAATTTATAAACTAATTAATTGACAAACACCAATTGTTGTGAGTTGATTGCTATTAACTAACTTGTTTAACAGCCTTACGCTTACGACTACAATAATAATACCAGTATTTCCCAATTAACCTTGGACAATACTTCATTAGCACTCACTTGTTAGACCTAACCTCTCTTGCTACTAAAGTAATAAACGTGGCTTTTTACCAAAGCTCCACAATTGTTAATTTTTACCAAGGCACTAACTGCACTTGTTGCTTTTTATCAAAGCACATTAAACAAAGAAAATAAAGACAATATTTTTATTTATTTTATTTTTGAAATTTATAATCGATTAATTTTATTTAATAAAAATAATGATTCTGTCAGAGAGTTTTATTTGGTTAGAATGTTAATTGTCTATTATTTTCCTCTGCTTTTTTCAAGCGAAGTTATGCTTTTTCAAGCAAATACCAGAAGTTATTCTTAATGATCACTATAACTAATAATAAAGATAAAGATAAAGATGGGATGATTATTTGTAAAGTAACTTAATCAATCAATATTGATATTATAAAAACTTCCATAGCTTTTTCGTAAAATTTTCATTTGATAATAATTATCATATATTAAGAATAGTTGACCCTGATAAAGCACCGAATCCTTAATCGATGATCTCGATCATGTACCACGTTTATTAATCTTCGAGTATAGTAGTAAATGAGTGTGTGAAAACTGAATTTGTATTCAGCAAAAGAAAAATTTAGCTCCTTGGAAAACAAAAGAAGAGATTGGGATATACAAAAAAAATATAAAAAAAAAGACTTTGGAATACATATTTATAAGTTTTTTTTGTGAATTTTTATATTTTATAGCAATTTTATTTGCGTCATATGGCAGCGAATTTGACGTGATAGTTTTACAACTTTGTTAACATTTCGTCAAACAACATTAGTGCCAGTACCAAAGACGTGTATTAACAAACATAGAAAGCATCGTGCTCAAGTGAAGCCAAACGGAGAAGAATTGTTAGCCAAACTGGGAATATAACGCGTAATTAGGAAAATGCACACGATAATTCATCATTGTGTTATACTGCAGAATAATTTACTCAAAATGAACTTTATGATAAAGATTGTAGGGCACGTATTAGTCTCCGGTCGATCCAATTAAGTCTACTAGCGACTAGCACCGCTATCACTTTAGAACAAGGCAATGGTTTGTCTCAGGATCTAAAAAGATGTATAAAAGTCGCAGGACATTGCAAATCAAATGTCATTCAATATAAACGTTACATGAATAAAATTATTATCAACCACTTCAAAAAAAAAATCTCCGTTTTTTATATAGCGAGCGATTTTCAACCATGATAAAATTTTTAGAGCCAGACTAGAAATTTCTAATAACAGTTAAAAGAAAAGGTTAGCTTAAATATTGGTTATTCTACGCTAGGTCAGAAGCGTTTCTTTTCTTCACACTTA